TTATATAAGGTCTACATCTGGCTATATGCATATTCACATGCATGTAAGGGATTTTCCAATGGCATAATTCGGCTAAATTAGTTCGAGATAATGTAACGGTTAAATTATTTTTAGTATTATGAAAATTGTACCCTTACCAGTTCCATGATAGTTCCAGATGCTGGCAAGTTTCCATAAATCAAGAGATGATCAGCCTTAGAATTAATTATACATAGCATTGTATATAATCATATTTATTATTCGGGTGTACCATCACACATGTTAAAAAACACTAACCCTGATATGGGTGAACTTTATTAATATATATGAATTTACCCGAAGGGGCTTTGTACATGACTAAAATTTATTTTCAGAGAATGTGAATCGATTTCACAACGTCATGTGAGTGGCGCAGTAATTACTTTTCGCAAACTTAACTAGTACATAGTCAATATCATTTGGACTTAATTTTGATATAGATGCTACCGTAAAAGATTTTATCCTTTGAATCTTATGCTCACCTATTTTGCTAAAGAGACCATAAATCTTTAGAGCACATTCTTTTTTCTTCCAAAGTAAATCATCGCTAGAGTCAGGGAGTTGTTTTCGAACTTCTTTATTGACTAATGCCTGGGCTGTTTCACTTGGGATTATTTTTCATGTATTGCTTAAATCAATTATCAACTGCTTTTCTGAAATTATAGTATGATTTGATAACAACTCGATTCTTAATCTCTACCTGACCTTCCATTTTAACGATTACACTGTATAGATCAGAGAAATCACTAGTTTCTACTTCTATAATTTCTGGATCTTGAGACGTTTCAGAGGACAATTCCTCAATCAATTTTTTCAATTTAGGGGAGTCATTCCTATTAACCAGCTTTTTTGCTTTTTATTAGGCGCTTTATCAGTAGACTCATTGATATGCTTTTTCGGAAAGTGGTCTGGAAATAATAATAATGGTGAGTCATTAGATAATAATGGTGATATATCTATTGAATCATTATCATCTTTTTGCTTTCTGGGTGAATTGATAACTGCTGATTCTACCTTGTTCTTACAATTGGGTCTTAGACATAATGGACTAGTTTCGATAGAACTTTTGATACAATTGCAGTGATATATATGTCCACAGGTAAGTATGGTAAATGGCTTTTTTATTTCGTACAAAAAAAGCTCTTAGTTGTATAATGAGTATGGATTTAGTTCCAAAACATTAACACCTTCTGAAATATTTTCTGGTGATGAATTTTTAAGGATATTTAATGCAAGTATTTCGAAACATGAAATATTAGCAGACATAATAATCTTTGTTATATCTTACTTCCACTGAATCTGTCTTGTTTTATTTCATTAGGACCTTCCATAGTCTCCTGATTTTCATTAGTCGATTAATTTGCCGATCACGTTCTGAAATTGACCTGTATTAGGAAAAAGCAATCTTGAATGAATATGTGAATTAGTTTTCAAGAATCAAGAACGGTAATATCTCCGATTTGATTTTAAACATCTATAAAGCAGATTACTTAACCTCTGGTCATGAACTATATGCGGGATTTGGAATAGATTTTTCTACTTCTGCCTCACATGTTTCACTATCCTGTGATGATCAAGAGGAATTCACTAAAAATATGAATATTAGTCAAATTATTCTAGAAAAAATTTGTCTATTCTAGGATCATCTATCGGAATAAAAAAAAATATATATGCAAATATTACGTCGCATAGCCCCTATTCTTTTGACAAGAATTTTTTCCGATATCATTTGTCTTAACGCTTTCAGTCAGGTAACAGTTTTTTATGTGATTATTTTACGATTCCAATTAATACTACTGCTTTTAATTGATTAGGCTCTAGAATGCTAAATTAAAGATAAGTATTATTAACATAATCTATTACAACTGCGCATCTTCATTAGCTATGGATCAAAGCTTACTAACCAATTATGATCTTAGTGCCAGCAATAATCTGGATGGGGAATATGAATTTTTAAAGGCTCTAGAACTATTGGAAAATGTTGATGAAGTTAAAAATAGATGATGATACCAATGATGAATTTGGAATAGGCAATGGTACCAATGATGATGCTGATGATGATACCGAAGAAGAAGAAGATGGTGATGATGATAAATGGTGGGATCCTAGTAAACTGTATATTAGATAAGATTATATAGCCCACTTTGGTGAAGATGCTTGGAATAAAGTTTATCAAGCTTGGTTAGCTCGTCATTGCAATATTCTTCTTAAGCTATTCACCGGGTGCCTTCCTAATTTATCTGAACAAGCAAAAAATGGATTATTTGACACATTTTCAAGATGTGATGCATTTGGAGTATTAGAACACAATGCACTATTGGATGTGCTAACTCATCCTGTAGAAGGTTTAAGTCTTTCAAGATATTATCAGCTTGGATTTGTTTAGTCTTAAAGTATGATTATTCCCTATATTACCCATACTCTCATATTAGATAATGTCTTGTAAAAATTGTGTCACTGCGCCTTTGCTTTATTTTTATGAAATAAAATTATTACATTTAATAAAATACATAATACGAAAAAAAAATTTCTATCTAATTGTTAGGCAGGGGTGGTATAGGAGATGAAACTACATGGTATAAGTCTACGGGAGGGTCCTTATTGAAATAATCAGAAATCAAAGCCTGTGATTGCATACGCCTTTCATTCACACTTTCGGGATAATAAATTTTACAAATATCAAAAGGAACATTATTAAATGGAGGTCACAACTTGGTTTGAATTGCAATTTGGAACCTGCTAACTGCTGTATTTCTGGGAATCATAATTGTTAACTCAATCTTATTCCGTGAAAGAGTATTGAATGTGCCATTAGGAATAATAAGACAATTAAGAGTAATGTCGCTCATTTTTAGCTTCCTAATTATAATACTCCATAGTGGATGAGTGAGTGAGAAGTTGCGCCTAGTCTCAATCGAATTTATTTTGCCAAATGAAGTGTCTTATCTTGAAAAAATCATTAAATGGTGTTATGCTTATTGATTGATATGAAAAAAGAAGCAAGTCGTATAAATGCTTAACAAAACTAGCCTCCCAACACTATGCTTATATATTTGGTGGGGAAAAATAAAACTTAATCTCTTTGGCATGGTGATCTCTCTGCGAAACATAAAGCTTGTCTAGCCCCTGATAATCTCAGAATTGCAAGATACTCATGTCTTCATATCATATGCTTTTGCCGTCATTTTTTACTTATAGGGCAACTTCTGAACCGCAACTAGACATTTTTAGAGCCTCTGCTCACATTTGTTTGGGGGAAATAGGAACAGAAGTTAATATGATTTCTTTTCAAATGTACTATATATGTAAAAAATTAATTATTCTTGTCGCACAGAGATACCTTGATCAGCCATAACGCAGATGCCTAATTATTGCGCATGATTGTTGATCTCTACTCCGGACTAGTTAGATCGGACTACTCAGGTCGGATTCCTTCTAAGTTTCACCTTTTTTATTACTGGATTTTTCTTCACACATTTTACTTTACAAATCTTCTTTTCTGGAAATACATATTCATAATCGGACTCAGATGAATCTGTTAGCTCTGTGCTAAGCTCCAACCCAGTTTGCTCTTCTACATAATTTCCTATCCATTCTACAGTTTGTTCTAGCTTTTTAACCTTCTTTCTAAGCTCGGCTGATTCAGATGACTCTGCCTCAGAATCATATAAAGACTTGATATAATCTGGACGCTTGATATAAAATTGCCATATATTTTTATCGCTTCTTTCCATATATTAATTTTTGCTTCACGAAGTTGTAGCCATGTTAAGCCTAATATAAGATCGACATGGTTGTGAGGCACTTTGCATAATTTTTTGATAACCTCAAAATCATTAAAAGTTTCATCACTACCAGCGAGCAGTCTATCTTTCCCTTATATCAGAAGGATAAATCTAGACAATTTATAGTACCTAATGAGTTTTTCACCTTTTTATTCTTATAAAGATTACCATATTTTTTTTCAAGCCTATCGGCTATGCTTCTGCTAATTTTATTTGCTCTAGATGATGTATTAATTAATGCCTTGACTGTATAGTGCCTATGTCCTGTTTTCATTGCTTCACATTGCTCTTCATGATGTAATAGGTCATCGGAAAAAGGCCATATTTTACATTCTATATATGCCATTTTAAATGTTATGTTTTATATCTGAATATTTATTATGCTAGAAAAAAATCTAATAAAGTTAACTGAATTTTTATTAATTTTCTCTCACAGATTTTTGATCAAGGGAGCTTGATTATAGCTTTTTTTTTGGCTACTTTAACAGTGGTGTCTTTCATTGCATCAGAGACAGGTAAGTCTTACATTTTGAAGATAATAACTCTCAGAATCGTCTATTCGATCAATTGAAAATGATTGCGGATGGCACTTTAGATAGCTTTAGAATAAGAGCAGAACACAACATACCTTACAAACTTTCATTTGCTAATATGCCATAGAAATTATCTCTTCTGGCGTGATTGATGAAATAGCTTTCTCCTCATCATTCTCTGCTAGATAGAGCAGATTCTCACATACCGTAGTGTCCTCAATCAAATCAGTCTTATCATCTACCTGCCAATCCTCAACTATCATAAGCGGTCTTGGAAAGTGTCGCTTCTTTTTCCGATCATCTAGCCTATGGCGTCTTAATTTTGCCTCAATAATTTGGGGACAAGGAGTTGCTTGGAGTTCAGTAGGTTCAATGTATTCAAGGACACCGTCTGCTGGTTTAACTCGAATCATTTGATTCATGTATCGTACTCGACTGCAGGCTGTATATACGGCATTGTTAATCCAGCCTTCCAGGCTATAGTCCACAATGAAACAACGTTTCGGAGGCTCGACAGTCTGTCCTTGGATTCGATGAATTGTTCCCCAGCCAGCATATTTCCACTCGGCAGGGAGTCCGCGCAGTACTATTTCAAGTGGTACATTTACCATCGTACCAACATATGCTTCAATAATTTCATTGCTACCTGGAATCTGCACAGGTTTTCCTTGAATGCGATACATATGCTTG